GACACTGTGGCTCAAGTGGTAGAGCACTAGTCTTGAGCTGAAGAGCTGAGGGACAGTGCCCAGGCCCAGAGTTCAGGCCCCACAACTGGACCAAAAAAAAAAAAAAAAAAGAGCTGAGAGCCAGGCACTGGGAGCTCACACCTGTAATCCTAGCTACTCAGGAGCCTGAGATCTGAGGGTTGCAGTTCAAAGGCAGCCTGGGCAGGAAAAACTATGAAACTCTTTTTTTGGGGGGGAGGAGGTCCGGTCATGGGGCCTGAACTCTGGGCCTGGGCACTATCCCTCGGCTCTTCAGCTCAAGGCTCTCAAGGCTAGTGCTCTACCACTTGAGCCACAGCACCACTTCCGGCTTTTTTTCTTTTTGCTTATGTGGTGCTGAGGAATTGAACCCAGGTCCTTATGCATGCAAGGCAAGCGCTCTACCACTGAGCCACTTTCCCAGCCCAAAACCATGAAACTCTTATATCTCCAATAAACCACCAGAAAACCGGAAGTGGTACTTTGGCTCAAGTAGTAGAGTGTTCACCTTGAGCTGATGAGCTGAGGGACAGCACTCAGGCCCAGAGTTCAAGCCCTATGACCAACCAAAAAAAGAAGAAGAAGAAGAAGAGGAGGAGGAGGAGGAAGAGGAGGAGGAGGAGGAGGAGAAGAGGAAGAAAAAAAAAAGAGCTGGCAGCCAGGGAGAGTGGGATGGATCTCCTGATCTTCTTGCTTCTTGGTAGCTGAGCTTTGGGGTCCCTGGGAGGGAGGAGGTGGAGCAGCACCCCACCCTGCTCAGTACCCCAGAAGCCAGAATGGAGGAAGGTTTCAGTTAATGGAGGTCCTGAGGCCAAGCGGGGTGGGGGGGATGGAAAATGGGTGGTGTTGCATATTGCTTTTCTCCCCTCCTTCCGACAGAGTTTTCCACCCCTGAGGCCCTCGGCTGGGGCAGCTCCACGCCAGCCCCCATCTTCCACTACTACTACTACTACCCTGTCAGCCCCGTCCCAGAGGATGGCGTCTCCTGACATCCCCAGGGAAGCCCTGGAGTCGGCACAGGCACTCGAGAGCTGACCAGCCAGGCCTTCTCAGGATGCTGCTCAGGAGGTGGAGTGACAGGGCGGAGCCCATCTGGACATGGGGTTGGGCCCTAAGGGGAGGGGGGACCTCAGTGGACAGGGCTCTTAGAGCCCCCCATTAGTCCCTCTTGTCAGAGTGAGCAGGGATTCGGGGTGACTGTGTCCTCAGACTAGCATCTCCCCCTCCCACCCCTACCCCCGACCCCGCTGTCCTCTTCATGAACAATAAAGATGGTTTTCTCATCCTGTGCTTAGAATCCCAGATAAGGAGAGGGAGAGACACATGTATCTCCGGGCTGGCACAGGTGGCTTTCCTGGGGACAGTGCTCCTTGCAGAAGAGAGACTGGAACAGGGTGGAATATAATACTGAGGTGCAGAGGAGCCCCGGGGGACGGAGGGGGTAGTGCCTGTCCCATCCCATCCCCGAGTGGAGCTGGAGGGAGCGTGACAGTGCTGTTGGTCCCCAGCTCCCAGCCTTGGCTTGTGGAAGATCATGGATGTCCTTCCCATCTCCGCCCCATTCAGAGGCAAGAGGAAGGCCAGCAAAGCGCAGTGTTGGGGACTAGTTCCTCCGTCTCCCTTCGTGCAATCTCAGCTAAGCGCTGCTTTCAGCTTTTGTATGTTTCCTGCTTCCCTCTTCTGGTTGAAAATTGGGGGCCAGGGAAGTTCACAGGGCTAGAACTTCCTGAGAAATAGGTAGGTTCATTCCTGGAAGGTTCTAGAATATCCTTGGCAGTTTATTTATTTTTTGGGGGGGGTTGTGGGGCAAGCGCTCTACCTCTGAGCCACCTTCCCAGCTCAGAACACCAGTCTTGAGTGAGGTTGATATCTACTCAGGCCCTAAGTTCAAGCCTCAGTCTTAGCAAAACTAAAACAGCAAAACCAGCCACACCATCTAGGACTACTTACAGGGTATGAGTCAGAGGCAGGGCCAGGGGCTCTGGGCTTGCAAAGCACTGGGTGGTTTTAGCACCTACAGGGTACCTGAGCATCCTCCTCTAGCATGGGGGATCCCCGTGGAAGCCCCACCCCTGCCTAGGCACCAGTGCCCTTTTCCCTCCCGGCGGGCAGGCAGCTTGCTCCTTGTGGAGGAAATGGCTCAGCTGGGTGGGCACGGGGCCAGCTCCACCAGACCCAGACGGGGCTCTGGACTCCAACCGGGGCCCAATGTTTTTGCTGGAAGGTGTTCCAGCCTTCAGCCTCTGGCACTGCTGGAGACCAATTGGGGACAGGACACCACTGTCCTTTTCTTTTTATGGGCACTGGGATCATTTTCCAAACAAAAATGTGAACATGTGAGCTGGGATAGGATTCTTTCCTTATCAAATTATTTTTGTAGGCTTTATTTTGTCTGACAAGGGTATAAAAATGGCATCTGACTGGGGTGGCTGCTCAGTGGTAGAGCACCTTGGGACCCTGGGTTCCATCCCTATGAGGGGGGTGAAGGACTGGGGGTTAGAAACCTAGCAGGAGAAACAGGTTTTAGGGCCAGAGGACATGGGGCAGTTGGCATTGTGTGATATGGATGAAAAATACTTTTTATCTTTTACTTCTCTTTTCTCTTTCCATACACAAGTTTTAATCTAGAAACTAACATTTGCTATTGAGACTCTAGCCTACCCTCTCTCCCTTCCTCCCTCCCTCCCTTCTCTCTCTCTCCTCTTTCTTTTTTTCTTTTTTTTTGGTCGGTCGTTGGGCTCTGGGCTTAGGCGCTGTCCCTGCGCTCTTCAGCTCAAGGCGAGCGCTCTACCACTTGAGCTACAGCGCCACTTCTGGTTTACTGGTGGTTTATTGGAGATAGGAGTCTCACGGTCTTTCCTGCCCGGGCTGGCTTTGAACCGCGATCCTCAGATCTCATCCTCCTGAGTAGCTAGGATTACAGGCATGAGCCACCAGCGCCCGGCTCCTGAGCTGCTTTTGTTCAAGGCTAGCACTCTACCACTTGAGCCACAGCACCACTTCCTGCTTTTTCTGTTTACATGGTGCTGAGGAATCAAACCTAGGGCTTCATGCATGCTAGGCAAGGCCTCTGCCACTAAGACACATTCCCAGCCCCAAGAGTACATTTCTTTTTGGACAAGGGGGTGACAGCTTTCTAAAGAGGTGGGAGAAACTGGGCACTGGTAGCTCATTCCTGTAAATCAGACAGTCAAGGTTCAAAGCCAGCATAGGCAGGAAAGCCCCTGAGATTCTTATCTCCAATTACACACACACACAGAGACACACACACCACACACACACACACACACACACACACACCAGAAGTGAAGCCTTGGCTCAAGTGGTAGAGTACCAGCCTTGAATGAAAAACCTAAGGGACAGCGTCCAGGCCCTGAGTTCAATCCGCAGTATGGACACAAAATTACAAAAAGTAGGAGGCAGATGGCATGGCTCAGTGACACAGTGGTTACTTAGCATGTGCTTGAGGCCCTAGGGTTGATCCCAGCACCCATAGAGGCCAGCATCCTTGGTCCCTGCTAAGAGTGGGTGATGACTTGGGGAAACTGGGTGGGCCTGCCTCCCCCTTCTGAGATCCTTTTCTGAGATAAGACAGTGTCCCCGCGGGTGTCTTGCATCATTCAGCCAGTAAGTCACCACTCCGACTTTTCAGGGGTCAGACACCAGGCAGGCTGAGAGGATGCTGGGATGAGTAATTCACACACCCTCCCTGGGCCTCCAGAGGCTACCCTCCAGGGGGAAGGATAAAAACAGCATGACATCTGGGGACAATTTGTGCTGCAAAGAAAAATGAAGCTGTGTACAGCGTTAGCAGACTCGGAAAAGTGTATTTGTTATCTGCAGCTGTGGAACAAACACTGCCTCCCCAGCAACCGCAAAAGCCCTAGGCCTCACTTTTTCGATGGGTCAGGAATCCAAGTGCAGCTCGGCCATGACCCCTGCCTCAACATCTCGCACGGACTAGGACTCAGGCTGAACTGGGTGTCCCCTATGGTGGGGACCCTCCTCTTTTTGTAGGGGCAGCTGGCTTCCCTCAATCAAGGGAGAGGGCAAGACAAGACTCAGGCTCAGGCCGGAAGCAGCCATCTTTGGGTCTTTGGGTCACCGCGTATGGGAAGTTGGGACATGACTTGCGTTTTTTGTTGTGTGCTGATTCCGGTGTTTGGCTTTTTTGTGTAAGCTTGGTGTTTTGCCATATGAGTCATGAGCCATTCCTCCTCTTCTGACTTTTTGCTTTTTTTTTTTTTTTTAGCCAGTCCTGGGGCTTGAACTCTGGCCTGGGTCCTCTACCTGAGCTTCTGTGCCTGGGTGTTGTGCTCTTTTGCTTGAAGCTAGCACTCTATCACTTGAGCCACAGTGCCATTTCCAGCTTTTTCTGTGATTAATTATAGATAAGAGTCTCACGGACTTTCTGCCTGGGCTGGCTTTGAACCACAATCCTCAAATCTCAGCCTGCTGAATAGCTAGGATTACAAGTGTGAGCCACTGCCCCCTGGCTTCTTTCTGCTAATTAAATGGAGATGAATCTGCAGATTTTTCTGCCTGGGCAGGCTTTGAGCCTTCATCCTTAGATCTCAGTCTCCTGTGTAGCTAGAGCCACCAGCACACCCCACTTGACAGCCATGTTTTTTGCCACACTGTATTATAAGAAAGTCACCAGGCTCCACCATCTCCAGTGGGGTCTAAACAAAGGGGTAAACCTGGGCCCTCAGGAGATGCTTGGAACTTGCCCACTTTTAAGTTCAGGGCTGAAGGTCCTTATAAGGTACGAGGCTGTCACTGAGGTAAGATTTCAGATCTAGGGAGACAGTCTGGCTGGAGAGTTGATTGGGAAGTCAGAGTAGGGATGAAATCAAATGCTAAGAAATCCCTTTAGGAAAAAAGCACATTTTTCCTTGCTGTACTGGGATTTGAACTTAGGGCCTTATGTTTGCCAGGCAGGCATTCCACCACTTGAGCCACAGCTCACATTCCTTTAGGAAAAGGACTTGCAATTCATTATTGGAGAGGTGCAGATTGGAGTCCATTCTTCTGACATCTTTCTGGGCCGTTTGCCAGGAACAGCTAATGGAAAGGTTTTCTGAGTAGAACCCGGCCTCCCTGCCTCCCCCACCCCCGCAACCATACCCTTAGCCTTGCCAGAGGCCTCACGAACATGTGAGTTCTATTAACTTCGCAGTGAGCCCGGGGGACCAGGCAGGAGTTTGGTGGTCAGAACCCACTGGGGGCTAGTTTCCCCTGTGCTGAAAGAATGAGGCTTTGGGGATTAGGGTGCTGGGAGACACCTGCTAGAATCTGCAAGATTCATCTCCAGTTAATTAGTAAAAAGAAGCCAGGTGGCAGTGGCTCACACCTGTAACCCTAGCTACTGAGGAGGCTGAGATCTGAGGTTCACAGTTCAAAGCCAGCCCAGGCAGGAAAGCTTATGAGACTCTTCCATTAATCACAGGGGGGTAGATACTATCAGGAGTGGAGGTTTCCAGTGGGAAGGAGCTCAAGGAGGGTGCTGGGATCTGTGAGGGGACAGAGGCAAAATGCTGAGGGCTTGGAGTCCCTCCAAGTGAGGGTTGCCTCCTCACTGGGCACAGGAGCTCTGACCACAAGGTCTGGTCGTCCCCCACTCCTCACCCCTCACTCTGGGGTCCGTGGGAACCAGCAGGCTTGGTCAGGGCTGGCTTAGGCTCCGGAACCAGGAGGGGATTAACACGTAGACATGTTGTCACAGCCAGGGCACTGCCTAGTGAGGCAGATGGACACAGACTTGGGGCCTGGGAATGGGCACTCGGTGTGGCTAGATCTATGGCTGGATCATTGCCCTCTAATCTATTTTTTGTTATTGTTTTGAGACAGACTGGATCTCCCTATGTAACCCAGACTGGGTTTGAACTCTCGATCCTCCTGCCTGCTAAGATTACAGGCACGCAATACCACACACTGTCCTTACTTTCCCAGCATGGCTCTTGAGCAATAACTGTTCTAAAACTTGGTTTCCTAGGTCCAGGGGCCTGGAGCCAGACCGTGTGAGGAGCTCCGAATGGATGACTGTGAGCAAGTTACTTCAGGCCTTGTTTATGTTTTTGTTTTGTTTTGTTTTGGTCCGTTTGTGGGGCCTGAACTCTGGGCCTGGGCGCTGTCCCTCAGCTCTTCAGCTCAAGGCTAGCACTCTACCACTTGAGCTACAGCGCCACTTCCGGCT